GGTAATGGTTAGGGCTTCTGGATAATGGTGTGTAACTGGTAATGGGTAAGGTTTCTGGATAATGGTGTGTAACTGGTAACCAGTAAGGTTTCTGGATAATGGTGTGTAACTGGTAATGGGTAGGGTTTCTGGATAATGATGTGTAACTGGTAATGGGTAGGGTTTCTGGATAATGGTGTGTAACTGGTAATGGGTAGGGTTTCTGGATAATGGTGTGTAACAGGTAATGGGTAGGGTTTCTGGATAATGGTGTGTAACTGGTAATGAGTAGGGTTTCTGGATAATGATGTGTAACTGGTAATGGGTAGGGTTTCTGGATAATGGTGTGTAACTGGTAACCAGCAAAGTTTCTGGATAATGGTGTGTAACTGGTAATGGGTAGGGTTTCTGGATAATGGTGTGTAACTGGTAACCAGTAAAGTTTCTGGATAATGGTGTGTGACTGGTAATGGGTAGGGTTTCTGGATAATGATATGTAACTGGTAAACCCACTTAATGCTGGTACATCCATCTATAAATGATAAGACTAGTAGCTTTATAACGTAAGACTTGTGTAATTTGGATATTTTTTTACATATAGCTATTATTGCTAATAAAGGTCAAGTGATTGTTAATGTTAATATGGATTTATTATTAGTAAGGTTTGCAAAAGTTTTAGTAATGTTATTTCACTGCATCTGTTTGAGGTTTGAGGCAAAGGACATTTGAGCCTTCATGTTGTTTATCTGAATTCTCTGTTGTGTTTGTACATAACTGAAAGGATTTTGTAATATAACTCCTATGTACTGAGAGTTGTTGAGCCATCAGTACAACACTTCAAGGATGATGATGCTGTAGAGTAGCTCAGGTTGTTGTTTTATCAGTGAGCTTTTGTTGTTGTACGTAACAGGCATCCATATACCATATAGTCTTGGGTCGTGATAGAGGTCGGACAACAAAACATCTCGATGTTCTTGGATCTCACACCTGGCAAGGGAAAGCTGTTATAGAGAACCTGAAAGAAAATTATTTGTTTGTTATTATTTTTGATTATAAAAGAAATAATTCTCATCCATAAAAGATTTTACTTCTCAAGATGTCCCTACTTCCAAGTTGGAGTGAGCCACAAATGGTTTTCTCAAGGAAAGTAAACTCAAAAATGTAATCAGGTCATGAAAGTTTTATGGATCTATGGTGTGCTAAAGGTTTACAAGCCAGATATTCCATTCAGATCTATTATAAGCACTATATAGTTTCATCCTTTCATAAGATGCCACATTGTATCACCACCATTCTCAATTCTCTCAAGACAAAATGTGGAAATAGATGTGGAAACTTCAAGATCTTTGCCGAAGAAATTAGGAACACCATCATACAATCTAAACATTGATAAATGTTGTCAGGTTAATGGAAAAACTTAACAGCTGTACATGTTGGTTTCTGGTGAGTTCTTTAGTTACTTCATTCCTGGCCTCACAAGAGATAAAATAGACAGTGTCATGTACCGTATCGGCTCTTCTGAGTAATATATACTGTCTAAATTTCAAACCAAAATAAACTGCATTCTTAGATGGAAAAACTTAACAGCTATACATGTTGGTTTCTGGTGAGTTCTTTAGTTACTTCATTCCTGGCCTCACAAGAGATAAAATAGACAGTGTCTCGTACCGTATCGGATCTTCTGAGTAATATATACTGTCTACATTTCAAACCAAAATAAACTATATTCTTAGATGTTTTTATCTGTCGGCATGACTACAATCTCAGTACTTTTGTTAACAGGAAATCACCCCACTTTAACAGATACCAGCACATCACATCTTATATTCTGTTAAATGACGAATATTAAGATGTCTGTAAAATCATTCCAACAACTCTGATCCAGCTCAAATGATGAAAGAAGAAAGACCAGATAAATCCAACAGTTACCTGCCTAGCTTCGTTCAGTCTGAGAAAACGTCCCAACTTGCAGGTTATTACAGTAACTTTGTTGAATTTACCATGTCCACTCTAAATGATAAACTCAAAAGAATATACCAAAACTTTCAAGTTAATATTTGTATTGGAATGTTCTCTACTCCTAAAGCTATTCTAATAAAATAGAACAATCGGGTAAAGATGAACAAAAGAATGTGACCCCTGAAGGCTACTGTGAAGACATTGAGAAACTGGTAGAATTATAGATAAGAGAATTAAAGAACATCAAAATCTCATTAAAAAAGACTACACAGGTTTCTGCATCTGGAACACTGAAAGTCAAGAATAATTATAAAATATTTTATATTAAAAGCACCATCTAACTTTTAACCAAGATTATTATGTATGATAGGCAGAAAGTATTTAAGGGATGAATGACCAGAGCTTTTCTGTAGCATCATCATTTCAACAAGCAGTTCTACTGAAGAGATATCCAAGAATCTGGAGCTCTCTCAAGATTGAGAGATGTTGACTATTATATAAACATCTCAATGACTGAAATGCTGTTCCCCAAAGGTTCTCAGGCAAATACATTCTATTGCAGTTTCAATTCTTGTCAAAACACCTATTCACCACAGGTTTCCAGACTAAAACAGTCTGTTAAAGTTTCAGTGCTAGTAAATCACCTATTTACCACAGGTTTTTAGACTAAAACAGTCCATTAAAGTTTCAGTGCTAGTAAATCACCTATTTACCACAGGTATTTATTTAAACTAATACAGTCTGTTAAAGTTTTAGTGCTAGTAAATCACCTATTCACCACAGGTTTCCAGACAAAAACAGTCTGTTAAAGTTTCAGTGCTAGTAAATCACCTATTTACCACAGGTTTCCAGACTAAAACAGTCTGTTAAAGTTTCAGTGCTAGTAAATCACCTATTTACCACAGGTATTTATTTAAACTAATACAGTCTGTTAAAGTTTTAGTGCTAGTAAATCACCTATTTACCACAGGTTTTTATTTAAACTAATACAGTCTGTTAAAGGTCTAGAAATGTTCACTAAAATTTGAATTTTTCTGAAGAAAGACAGTGTGGTGCTTTAAAGTTTCTGTAGTGAAAGTCTTCATGTGACAGATAAGGCTTGAGAAAGTTTACACGTAACCTGTAAGGCACTGGGTGTATTAATAAGTAAGTATATTGTCTGAAAAAGTGCTATAGAGACACTGTTAAACACTATTTCATAACTTTTGTAATTATGTATAACAAATACTCATCTGGCTGTTAATAATTGCCTAATTAGCTAGTGTCACCCAGTATTGGTTTAATAATAGTGGACTAAATTAACATACATGTTCCAAGAATGTGTGGTTTTATTTTTGCAGGAAAGACACTGCAAAAGTAAGAGTGTTTTCTGTGAAGATTGCTCTAAGTACTATGTGTTCCGGGAAACTAATGGACAAACTTCGATGTAAGTATTGCAAGACAGGTTGTTAACTTTTCAAAAATTCGGTTGGTTATAACTTCTGTATCTTTCAGTATAGTTTTTCATCCAGAAAATTTGGTTTAAAGCTGTATGTAACCTCTGTGTGTGTTTTAGTTTGTTTTTTTATCTTTTTGTATAAGCTCAATCTCAAATGTTTTTGTGAAGGTTTTTGTATTTTAATATTTATTTCCATAGCTTTAGTGTACCTATATTTAATCAGATAAATTTGATAGTAAAAATTTTCAGCTATTGTATGTATATATTTAATTTCTGAGTGAATACAAAGTTTGAATTACATAATTACATTATTTAAAAGTAAACATTTTCAGCTATTGTATGTATATATTTAATTTCTGAGTGAATACAAAGTTTGAATTAGATTATTTAAAAGTAAGATATAAATAAATGAAGTTGAAAATAAACTTAATAATGTATTAATATCATACTAGAATGATTTATTTCTAACATTTTTTTAAGTACCTAAAATGTATGCTCCCATATTTTTGGGACTTGCTGTTTTCTTATTTTTGCTTCTGTGTAGATGTGTTTTCACTTATTTGTGATGTCAATGGCCATATGGTGTACAGTAAGTTTGTAGATTTTCTACGAGAGGCTTTGGCTTTGCCTTGTTCAGTGCTAGAATCGCCAACTTTTGCGTACAATGACAGTTTACCTGGAACTGTATTTGATGGGGTGAGTTGAGTTCTGATGTTTTTAATAATTTAATTGGAGGCTTAAAAAAGAAAGAAACATGAAATGTAGGAGCTATACTTTTTGTTTATTTTATATATTTTATCAATTACACTCAATGCTTTTTGTGAGACGAATTAGTGAGAGTTGTGTAAACTTCTAGTCAGGGTGTAAGATGGATTAGTGAGAGTAGTGTAAACTTCTAGTCAGGGTGTAAGATGAATTAGTGTAAATTTCTAGTGAAGGTGTAAGATGAATTATTGAGAGTAGTGTAAACTTCTAGCCAGGGTGTAAGATGAATTATTGAGAGTAGTGTAAACTTCTAGCCAGGGTGTTAGATGAATTAGTGAGAGTAGTGTAAAATTCTAGTCAGAGTGTAAGATGAATTAGTGAGAGTAGTGTAAACTTCTAGCCAGGGTGTAAGATGAATTATTGAGAGTAGTGTAAACTTCTAGCCAGGGTGTTAGATGAATTAGTGAAAGTAGTGTAAACTTCTAGCCAGGGTGTAAGATGAATTAGTGAGAGTAGTGTAAAGTTCTAGTGAAGGTGTAAGATGAATTAGTGAGAGTAGTGTAAAGTTCTAGTGAAGGTGTAAGATGGATTAGTGAGAGTAGTGTAAACTTCTAGCCAGGGTGTAAGATGAATTATTCAGAGTAGTGTAAACTTCTAGCCAGGGTGTTAGATGAATTAGTGAGAGTAGTGTAAATTTCTAGTCAGGGTGTAAGATGAATTATTGAGAGTAGTGTAAACTTCTAGCCAGGGTGTTAGATGAATTAGTGAGAGTAGTGTAAATTTCTAGTCAGGGTGTAAGATGAATTATTGAGAGTAGTGTAAACTTCTAGCCAGGGTGTTAGATGGATTAGTGAGAGTAGTGTAAATTTCTAGTCAGGGTGTAAGATG